TTTTTTCTGCGAATCTTGCTCTTTTGACTCTAAACAAATAAGAATAGGAAGAAGGTGGAAGAAAATAAAACTGCACATCCAACCTTTACCTTTTCATGTGAGACTGCCTTCTAAAGAAGGATTCCGCAGCAGAAAACCATTTACCATGCTAATGGACATCAAAAGAAAGCTGGGTTGGCAATCCTTCTATCAGATAAATTAGATTTTAAACCAAAGACTATAATAAGAGATGAAGAAGGACATTATATCATACTTAAAGGGTCTCTCCAACAAGAAAATCTAACATTTGTAAATATTTACGCCCCTAACATGGGAACAGCCAATTATATAAGCCAATTAATTACAAAATCAAAGAAACACACTGACAGTAATACAGTAATAGTAGGAGACTTTAACACGCCCCTCACTGAAATGAACAGATCATCTAAGCAAAAGATCAACAAGGAAATAAAAGCTCTAAATGACACACTGGGCCAGATGAACATCACAGATATATTCAGAACATTCCATCCCAAAGCAACAGAATACACATTCTTCTCTAGTGCACACGGAACATTCTCCAGAATAGATCACATCCTGGATCACAAATCAGGTCTCAACCAGTACCAAAAGATTGGGATCATTCCTACATATTTTCAGACCACAATGCTTTGAAACTCAAACTTAATCACAAGAGGAAAGTTGGAAAGAACTCAAATACATGGAAGCTAAAGAGCATCCTACTAAAGAAGGAATGGGTCAACCAGGAATAAAGAAGAATTTTTAAAAATTCATGGAACAAATGAAAATAAAAATATAACTGTTCAAAATCTTTTGGATGCAGCAAAGGCGGTCCTGAGAGGAAAGCATATAGCGATACAAGCCTTTCTCAAGAAACAAGAAAGGTCTCAAGTACACAGCCTAACCCTACACCTAAAGGAGCTGGAGAAAGAACAGGAAAGAAAGCCTAAACCCGGCAGGAGAAAAGAAATAATAAAGATCAGAGCAGAAATCACTCAAACAGAAACCAAAAGAACAGTAGAACAGATCAATGAAACTAGGAGCTGGTTCTTTGAAAGAATTAATAAGATTGATAAACCCCTGGCCAGACTTATCAAAAAGAAAAGAGAAAGGACCCAAATAAATAAAATCATGAGTGAAAGAGGAGAGATCACAACCAACACCAAAGAAATACAAACAATTATAAGAACATATTATGAGCAACTATACACCAGCAAATTTGACAATCTGGAAGAAATGGGTGGATTCCTAGAACATATAAACTACCAAAAGTGAACCAGGAAGAAATAGAAAACCTGAACAGACCCAAAACCAGCAAGGAAATTGAAGTAGTAATCAAAAGTCTCCCAAAAAACAAGAGCCCAGGCCCAGATGGCTTCCCAGGAGAATTCTACCAAACATTTAAAGAAGAATTAATACCTATTCTCCTGAAACTGTTCCAAAAAATGGAAATGGAAGGAAAACTTCCAAACTCATTTTAAAATTTATATGGTTGGTTGCCGCTGTACTATGAGCAGCTCAGCTTTACAAGGAGCTTGAATGGGCAGTCTGGGGGTCATGAGGAGAAGAGACCATTACCCAACAGAGAGCTATCCCAAGGGTGAGATGGTAAGTGGGGAGAACTCTCCTCACTGCTGGGGGTACATGTGGCCAGGTGTTCCCAGACCCAGTGTCAGGTTCCTATGTAAGCCCAGACATGATTCAGATGATTGTTGGTGGCAGGAGGTCCCTCCCAGTGAGTGAGGAGGCATGACAGTGAGGAAAACCAGAGACAGTCCAACTTTGAATATCAGAGGCAGTCAGAACCTTGAGACCTGCCCTCATGGGGTATAACTTCTGTCTGGTTGGAGAGGTTCTTCGTGCTTTAGCTGTGATGATACTTTCAATTTCCTGGAATTGCCATGCTGTCTGACCTTTGAAATTCTATTCTTGCTGTTCCCTCTGCCTGGAATTTCTTCCAACAACACCCACCCTATCCTCTCATTAAAGAACTTATGCCATTATAACCACACAGTCATATATCTGTCTCCCCCAGTAAATGAAATGCTCCTTGAGCTGGAGGCTTGCCTGTCTTATTAGCTATTTTATCCCCAGTGGTGGTATAATGCCCAACACATTCTAGTTCCATATAAGTACTTGTCAAATTGAACGAACTAAAGATCGAACTAAACTAAAGCTAGCGATGGTTCAAGCTCCTGAGCTGGAATACTAAGTAGGATCCAGCCTTCTGGTTGCCGAGAACTAGCATCTTGTTTCAGTGGGTGAGGCCGACACTGAGGGAACTGTGATGATTCAGGTACCTGAGGACTCAGGGAAGGTTGTACATAAAAGGAGACTTACAGGACACCTGGATGTCTCCGTCGATGAAGTGTCTGCCTTCGGCTCAGGTCATGATCCTGGGGTCCTAGGATCGAACCCACGTTGGGCTCCCTGCTCTGTGGGGAGTCTCCTTCTCCCTCTCCCTTTGCCTCTCCTCCCCCACTCATGTTCTCTTGCTCATTCTCTCTCAAATAAATAAAGTCTTAAAAAAAAAAAAGGGAAAGGAGACTTAGAAGTCAAACAGGAATTTAGGTATAATGACTAGGATTCCTGAACCTGGAGGAAATCAGATACATTTGCTAATGGCTGTTCTACACCCACAGAGGCGACTCATAATGTGGTCTGCAAATGGGTCCCATCAGGAGATCCAATCACAGCAAGTGAGGAAGAGAAAGGCAGGAGAGCAGAGAAATTACATAGAGAATTACAGCTGTTACCTTTATCTCATTAGCGTGATGTTCTAGAATGCTAAAGAACATGAAGGTAAAAACTTATAATCAAATGGTTTGGAGATCTATAATAAAGCATGATTTGTTTGCAGTCCTGACAGAGACGAGCATGGTGCTTTTGTCACCCTGGCGAGTGAGGTCTGTGGTCCTCAGCTCCCACATCTACTAAATGGTGTAAGACGTGGAAAGTGCCCAGTATGGGACTTCATATACAGCAGACTCAGCACATGGCGGCTCTGGTAAGTGTCGGCACCAGCACTGACTGAGGTGATGAGACTTGTCACTCATTTTGTCCACTCGCCGCTCCACCTCCATACACACACACCTTCTCAAACGCAGGCACAAACAGCCATAGATTGTCTGAGGTCTTCTTAGCGTGAGTGAGAGACTAATAACCCTCTGCCAAGGGCCCCTGAGCCCCGTGTCTAGGAGGAGGCACACTGCACACTAAATTATCAACGAGTGCACATCCCTGTGTGTCATCTGACTCTAACATAAGAACAGGAGGGCCTCCTGGCTCAGGACCGACTCTTGATTTTGGCTCAGGTCATGATCTCAGGGTCCTGAGATGGAGCCCTGCATCAGTCTCACCAGGCTCGGAGCTCAAGGCTGGGTGGGGCGAGGGAGGTGTCCCTCCTCCTTTCCCTCTGCCCCTCCCCTCCAAAATAAATAAATAAATCTTGAAAGAAATGAAATAAAATGAGGAACAGGACATTGAGGACCATACACTACCATTTCCTAACTTTTGCTGGGAACCCTTCAAAAAAAACACAATTTTTCCCTTAATTATATCCGGGTTCGTAATTGGTTGCACAGAAGAATCACCTGGAATCCTTCTGAAAAAGGATAATGCTCGGGTTCACCCCAGACCAATTAGATTGCAAACTCCCGGGAAGGGGGCTCAAGTTTGGATGGTTTTCTGAAGATCCCAGGTGATTCTATTGCGTTGATTCATGTGCAGACCCTGGACCACAGCACCAGCCTCACCAAGAAGATTGTTTAAAGTGGGATCTCCTTTTGGGGTGCCTGGGTGGCTCAGTCAGTGAGGTGTCTGCCTTTGGCTCAGGTCATGATCCAAGTCCTTGGATCAAGTCCTGCATCGGGCTCCTTGCTCAGAGGGGATCCTGCTTCTCCTTCTTCTGCTCCCTCTGCTTGTGCTCGCTCTGTCAAATAAATAAATAAAATATTTTTTAAAATAATAATTAAAAAAATAAAATGTAGGATCTCGGGCCCCAGTCCAGACTGAATTAGAATCGGAACAAATCAGAATCCTCACTTCCAATGATCCATAATCACATCAAGGTTTGAGAAGTGCTAGTGAGGGTCAGGGATTCCCGACTCTGGCTGTACAACAGAATCATCTAGAGGAATCTGGGAAAATGCAGATGCTTGGGCTCTACCCCCTAAGGCTTCTACCTAATTGGTCCGAAAAGGATCACGAATAACTATTTTGAAAAGTCACCCCTAAGCACATAAGCTGGGAGGCCAGGGCTGAGAACCACAATGTTAGGCAGGCACTGCCCCAGAGATGGACTGAATTCTCAGCTGGGAGCACCTTCCTGAGGGAGCTCGGAAAGAAGAGATGAATCAACGTTTCTTTTCTCAGAAGTGGCAGAAAGAACAAGTATGGTCTCTCTAGTATGGGGCCTCCTAGCAACATGTTTAAGAAATGTCTATTTCATAACCACATATGTAAATTTGTATTTTCTGTTTTTCTCCTTGTTATAACTGTAGTTTATTAATGACTAGATCTATGTGCATAATCATGTGTAATAAGCTGAAATACGGCGCTCTTGGAGATGTGATTCGTGTCTTACTTTTACTCCTTGGCAATGATTTTAAATATTTACATTAAAACAAACAAGGGGATATTATAGGTACAATATCCATTTCTTGTGAATTTTAAAGGTAAAATGCAAGACTTCAAAGAAATTTTTTTGCTTCAACGGGACACTTCAGGCTACGCCCCAGACCTCCTACTGAAATTTATTCTCCCTCAGTCCTCAGGACTACTCTAGAGGGAAAGTCTGAGGAACACCGAGTCAACAGAATTATTTGAAATGTGACAAATCTTAATTGATGTGGTTTCAAATCCCCAGCAGTTGAAGCATCTCGGCTTATCTCAAATGCCAGAAATACTGTAACATTTGTCACTTCAATCCCAGCCAAGGGTCAAATGCAACACCACAAGTAGAAGCTGAAATAAATCCCAGAAGTCATTTTGCAGTTGACTTCACTTTATTCACATGATAGCTATAGGGGCTAACAATGACTTCCTCTAACATTTCTTTCTTCTGATGGGTTGATGGAGAGTTTGGCGGCAGACAGTGTGGGGAGAAGGGACGTACGGGAAGATCAGGGGTTTGTTACAATTCTACGTCATCATGAATCATTTAATTTTAACCTTGTGGCTTGTCTCACACATTTGCAGGAAGAGTTGAGGAATAGCTCTAATGCTCACTGGCAGATACTGGACAGCCCTTGTGGGCAGCATCTTTAGAGGACACACAATCGATCCTAACAGTAGAGGACCTCAGACAGTATGCTTGTGGGTCAGAGGTGAGTTGGGGTGCTGAGAAAGGCATCCCATGACAGCAGTGGGCGCTCAGGACATCCAGCAGGCAGCTCGAGAGTTGCAGTCAATCCCAGGAGCATGACATGGCTTCTCAGTACTGATAGGACCTCACAAGGAGCCACATAAGAATTACGGTGATCAGGACAATAGTGAAGTTGAGAAACAGCTCTCGGGTGGATATCCCCATCATCTGAGTTGGCTTGATGAGAACGGACGGTGGACTTTGGAGGGCACGCCAAAGACCTCCTGCTTGTCCTCACCTAGTGGGAAGTAATGAAGAAAAACGGGGAGATTCGTGAGGGTGCTGTCCTAGATGTGGAAGAGCAGAGTGTTATGGGCTGAACGGTGGCCCCAACAAAATTTATATGTTGAAGCCCTAACACCCTGCGTCTCAATATATGACTGTATTTGGAGATCGGGTCTTTCAAGAGGTAATTAAGTTTCCATGAGGCCATTAAGATGCACCCTGTTCCACGATAGCTGGTGTTCTTATAAGAAAAGTAGACGAGGACACAGACATGTACAGAAGGAAGTCTGTGTGAAGGCAGGGAAGGAAGTCATCTACCAGACAAGGAGGGAAGCCACAGAAGGAATCAACCCTGCCAACACCTTCTTTTTAAATTTCTAGCCTCCGAACTATCTTTGGACTAGAGCAGCGACTCTTCCTGGGTCTCCATTCTGCTGACCTCCCCTCTAGATTCCGGACTTGTCAGCGTCCACAATCACCTAAGCCAATTTTATCCATATATCTACCTACATCTGACTTGATATTCACATATACATGTGGGTCTCACACATACACACACACACACACACACACACACACACACACACACACCCTACTAGCTCTGTTTGCCTGAAGAACCCTAACTAATAAGAACCTGGGTTTTCTTTTCCCAACGTCAAAAAAGACCAACAAAGTCCTAATTTTTTTCCTGGGATGAACATATAGATCCTCTGGATAAAACACAAAATATTGTATTTTCTCTCTCCCAGGATGTATGTGCTTGCCTTGCTAATGTGGGGTACCAGCAAGCAAAGTCGCCGAAACAAAATAAAGCCTAAAAGTGGTATGGTTTAGCATTTGTTCTTGCTTGGGTTTGCGTGCAGGAGCGGGGCCCTGTCATCTCTCAAGGGCTGGGCTGCCGCAGGTCTCCATCCAAGCCCGAGAGTGCATGAAGGTCTTGCAGCAGCTGCTTGGCCTCTTCTAAGCCCTGCGCCGGGCACGGGCCCACCGGGGTCAACCAAAAGTTCCTCGCATAACAGGCACTCAGTCGACAGAGCAAGTGTTAACCTCATGGGTACTTCTATTTCAAAAAGGGCTTCTGCCAGCTATTTTTAGTCAAGTGCAGGATGTGCCTATATTGTAAACACTTCACAGAGCAGGGATGGTATCGTTAGAGTGTGTGCAGATCGTACGTGCAGGAAATCGTACTTCGAGAACATATGCAATGCGATCCATGAGATTATTGCCTTCGGTGATGTGGCATAATGAGTAGGCTGTGTTTGCAAACCGAACGAAATTAAAGATTAAAGATAAAATTTTAGATACTATGCAGTGAAAAGGTTTAGGGGGAAGGCGTGTTTTGCTTATCTGTTAAGGGTAGGAGTTCAGGGGGTAGGAAGTGTTGTTAGTGTGCTTTCAGCCTGAATGGCGTTTTTTAACCATCTAATGGGACTGAATGATTAATTGTAATTACCGTGTTCATTATATTAGTAATGGGTGGAATTATTAGTTGTACACACCAACTAAATGATCGTTCTTCATATTATGGAATGGTTGGTGTAATTAACACACGGGTTCTAAGGACATGGTGTCAACTAGGAGCTTGTCAGAATCTGGCTTTAAAAAATGGCCGATAATGATGATCTCTGTATCATTTTCCTTTGAATCGTTACCCATCATTTGGCCCTCCACATCCAGGATACAGTGAATTCCAATGAAACACTTCACAAAGGTTTGCTTGAAGGAGAAAGTAAACAGAAGAAAATAAATGGATAAAAGAAGTAGAGAGAATGTGTTAGAAGGTGCACAAGAGCAGAGAGGAACGGGAAGGTGATGAATCCAGGCCAGGAGCCTGGAGACAAAGGAATGGGAATCATAGGCAGACTCTTCCTTCTTAATAAAAAATCTAGTGCTGGTCCAAACACTGATTTATTTGGGTGCATTTTGGAGAAATACAGAGATATGCAAAGAGAGAGAGAGACTCTATTTATAATGATCAAAACAACCCAGTTCAGGGAGGGCAAAATCACTATCCCACCCAAACTGCTTTTCAGATTAATCTCTTAAATAAAGGGATCCATGGGAGTGGCCCAACAGGACATACTCAGAAAATGTTATTGAAAGCCGTCCACAGCTCTGTTTGTGTGACATTCACAGCTCTGTGACCTTCACAACTCTGGCAAATATTACCACAATTATTCTCTCTCCCACGACTATAGCTAAGAAGCTGCGAGATGAGGTACGTTGTTTGCGTGATGGCACATAGCAATTTAGAGCAGATCCAGAACTGGCAGACTGGAACTAGATGTCAGAATTGTGGTTACGATACTGGAATGATTACAAGAATGAGTTATTACTCCAACTAACTGTCCTGACTACACAAAGCGTGTATAAAATTTCAACACTTTGGGAGAACAATTTCACATTTTTTATTAAGGTTGTTAATGGTAACTCTCTATTACCTAGCTATTTCACTTCTGCCCTTAGAAACTCAAGCATGTGTGCACCAGGATCCATATATAAGAATGTTCACAGCCACATTTCATGATATCCACAAACTGGAAACCACTCAGGTCTTCATCAACATCCATGGGATGGATGATGAATTTTGGTACATTCATATATTTGAATACTATAGAGCAAAGCAAATATGTGAACCACAGCAACACACAACAAGATGGCTATCACAGGTACAACCGTCTGGCCAAAGAAGAATTTACAAAAGTCAAACAGACTGTGATTCCATTAATACAAAACCCAGAATGGGGAACTTAATCATGTTGTTTAGGAATCTTGACCTAGGTGGTAAAATTATAAAGAAGAGAATAAACAAATTTATCTCAGCAATCAAGATGGTGGGGCAGAAGGGAGAGATAATCAAGAATGGACTTCTGGGGTGCCATCAATGATCTCTTTCTTGACCTGGGTGACAGTATACAGGTGCTGCTTTATAATTATTGTCCAAAATATGTTTTATGATTCTTTACATTTTTATCCAGTAGTCTCTGAATTGGCAGGCTACCTCATATACTTCTTTATTTCCTACAGTTTACTTCTTACTATTACTCGCACTTTGATGGTGAACTTGAATATTTGTTGTGTAATATATTATTTAAATAAATAGAACACAAATAGTGAAGGTGAGAATTTGTAATGAATGCAATTGAATCAACATTCATGCTAACAGTAGGAAATGGACTTTACTATCACATACATTTATACCAAGGTTAGGCAGATGTTCAGATCAGCAACCTTCCATTTGTCTGTTGTTACCTCACAAACACCATTGTGGCCTCATTGTAAATATTCCCCAGAGTCAAGGTCCCACCATATGATCCAAAGTGACTGCCAGAGCCAGGAAAGCCCTAAATACATAGACATTGACCTTCTTTGAATGGAGGCTGTGAGAATTAGGAAGGTAGAAATGCATACCACGAGATGGAAGAAAAAAAAACAAATAAGAATAAATAATACTCTTTACATCTTAAAAAATACTGGACACAATAGGTATTGCCTATTTCATAAAGAAATGTAAATACACCTCTGTGTTTCTCATTTGTAACTTGTACACACACACACACACACACACACACACACACTCCCTCTCTCTCTTTCTCTCTCTGCTAAGTATAAAAATCCTGCTGTCACCTAAAGAGGGTCAAGGACACACCTGGCTGCTGTAGGCTTCTTCTCTCTCTCTCCACCTCAGGCTCCCACTCCTGCTTGTCTCCCAGGCTCTCTGGACTCCTGGACTCTGGGCAGGGCCTAAAGTAGTCTGAGAGCGGTGGCAGTCACTGTGATGTCACTGATGAAACATCTCAGAGGAACCACCTCCAACGGTTTGAGGCTATTTGTGTTTCGGGGGAATATAGACATCTGTTGACTAAGACTCTAGTCCTTCGGCTGTTTATTTGTACTAACACCACATAGACCTAACGTCTTCCCTTCCCATTGACTGTAGGCACGATTAATGTGGATTTTACATTTATCTTACACATCTTCATGAATAGCTCTAACATGTGTTTTGAACACCACAAACCCAAAGCGATAGGCTAATATTAACAGATAACGCGGAAATGGGCCGTTCACCTTACTCATCACGCAAGGGTATAAAAAAATACAACTTCGGTTTCCCATCCGTGTCCTTAACTATGAGAAATGTGCAGTGTTCTCTGCCTTGCCCATGCACACCCCAAAGCGCGCGGGCACCTATATTCAACGGACATCTCCAGCTCCTCCAGACTGACCTTCATCCAAGCAGTGAAAGCTATCTCCTCAGTCACCTGCTCTGCATAACATTCCAGCTAAGCCATATTTTGGAAGTTTACACATTAATATACAGTTTCATCCGAGACAGCTGTGGAAGGCATGGTTTATGTCTCTCTGTCAGTAAGCTAATCCCGCAGCAAACTCATACAGCAAAAGTCAGTCCTTCGGAGAGACCTCGGGGGGGTAAAAGAAAACACGGTGGACACCAGCACAATCGTGAGTTATGGACCCTCTCTGCAAGAGACAGAAGCGTGTAACTTTCGGTTATAAACGCGAACTAAAACTAGGCTGCTACAATGAGTTTACAAGCAACATTCCCGAGGTCAGGAGGTAAATGGAGCCCTGAACTACTTAACGGAACTTGAAAGCACATCAGCAAAACACTTTCCCCGGGACCCCAGCAACTGTTTGCTCAGCAAATCCCTTCCTTACAGATAATAGAGCAAATTCCCCTCTGAATTCCCAAATTCAGGGTGAATCAAAATAATGCATTTCCAGAAGGCATAAGCAAGCAAAATTCTCCCTCTCGTGTTCATTGTCAGTCCTCTCCCCGCCATGCCTCATACTGCAGAAACGTTACTAAAAGACTTTCCATCCTTTTCTTCATTTTCAACATAAACCCACTGACAGATAATGTTAAGACAACATTCTGTCACCACACGCCTTGTAAAAAGATAGCTTGGTGAAGTGACAGATAGTATATAATAATTATAGCTCAATCGAACATTGGCACTGATGTGTTGCCATC